GTTAATGTTTATGTCCCCAGCGTTAGCGAGAGAGTTTGCCAGATAAGCAAACTTTCTGTTGCTGCCGTTACACAGTTTAGACCTGATGCTGCCGCTGTCTCGCTGTGACACCTACTGCTGCGGGATTTGCACTGACCGAATGCAAGCCGCTACAGCCACAAATCAAAGGTCCATCTCATATGCTGCTGCCTGATCTCCTCCAAGTGAAGCAGTCCACAGAACCTGGGGTGGCTAGCTTGCTTATTTTTTTTCTCATTTATGGTCTCATAATCAGAGAGAGTGAGAACAGGGCAAGAAAGATTTGAATGAGCTGCATGAAATTCTACAATGAAATAGGATTAACTAAATCAAAGTCTGGGAAACACTTGGTTTAAAGTGTGGGCATATGTATAAAGCGCATGCATATACCCATGGTCGTCTGGTGGGAGGGGCTTAGGACAGAGGACAACTGCTGCTGGTAGACTTTTGTAGTCATTTCCCTGTTAAATGATATGACATCCTGATGCATTTGAGAGAAGAGAGAATATATGTCAACTAAAAATATCAGAGACAGACATGTGTGTGAAATGACAATGAAGTGTTTGGCTCCTGGGTATTACTTGAGAGACAGGTGTTAAATGGTTAATATCACAATCTTCACGCCTTTACTGCATCTCTTTGATAACTTTTTCCTCCAGCTTTTTTTTGTTTCTCCTTCTAAGGATATCTTTCTCTCGCTCAAAAGCTTGTGTCTGTCTTTCCCTTGAGTTGTCTGTCTTCTTCTCCTTTGGTTTTTATCCCCCCTCACTCATTTGTCCACTCACACCACTCCCAAAGCTCACTTCTGATTCTTGCTGAGCTGCTTTACGTCAACATATCTGCCTCCACCTCGATCTCTAGAGTCAGACGCCAAAGCTGCATCAAGGTGCCATGATTGTGCTGTTGTTGGGATTTGGAGTCTGCATTTTCTCCCTCTACCTATAACCTGGCTCTGTCTCCACACAAAAGAAGTTCACAGCTCTCACTTTCAGAAAATGGAGAGAGAAAACAGCTCCCCAAAATCGATCCATCTCTCACATTCGTTTGTGTCCACTTGCTCTTCCCCCACTATCATTATTTCTCTCCATCTTTTCCAACTCTCAGACCAATCTCCTGCCTGGACACACAATCCCCAACCCCCAACACCCCCAGAGTCCCATCTCTTTATAATACCTGGAGTCATCAATGCAGGGAACAGATTGCTTTGCCAAATTGCTGTGAATTGTGTGTCGATGTAAATCAGTTTTCTCAGAAGTTGAGGGAGCACAACAGTGTTCTCTTGAGAGGGGAGATGATGGCTGAGATTGCTGGATTCTCTTTTCTAACAGAAAACAGAAACAGGGGCATAAAAACACGGCGAGAAACGACATGTTCCACATAATTTCTTTTCAGATATACATTTAGTTTTGTATTATTTCATGTCCAAAACCTGCAAATGTTGTCAGCAAAATTTAAAAAGTGTGTGTATATAATACATTATTATCTGATAACATCTCTGATATGCATCATTATAAAAAAAATAAAAAATGAGTGCAGTGCAGTCCTGATCGTAGTCTCATTTAGTGTTTATTTTCAGCAGGCAGGCGAATCCAGGTTGAGAGTCAAGCTTATATTAACGCTGGTGGGATGAGGGAGCAGGACGGGGCTTTCAGAGGCTTTACTGCAAAATGAAGCGGATGAGGTGTCAACATAAAAGGTGTCAACAACAGTGTTGTGTTGAAAGCAAATAGCTTTGGATCTGTTGCCACTTAGACCGTTTTGGCTGTTTCATTCTACATTTTGAATGGCTGATTTTACGACTGCTGCTGCACCTTGAGGAGCCGATAAATAAATTCTAATTCCCACTGTTTATTAATTAAAAGTAACTCATATGATTCACTTTTTGTCTACTGAAAAGCAACAGCAAGTTAGTATTCTAAGAAGTACAAGCCCCCCCCCCCAAAAAAAAACTTCACAGCTGCAACAATTAATTGATAAGTTTATTAGCAGAAAATGAATCAGCAATTATTCTGGCAGTCAATTTGGAACAAAAACCCCCATCATTATTTAATTCCAGCCTCTAAAATCTAAATATTTGCTGCTCAACTCTGATCTATCCATCATTTCAACATTGAAGCAGGACTGTCAAAACTGACCGAAATGTCATTCCATTATTTAATTTAAAAAAAATGCACAAGTTTGAACCATTTGAATATTTTTACAAATTATGCCCATAAGAAGGCAATCCAATATGAGAGACAAAATTACCTGTATAGGTATATTTAGTATGTCAAGTTAAAAGTCTTGTGAAGGTTATTTTCAATTTTTAATCAGCTGTGTCATCACAGTGTGGTCAGTGTGTGCAGATGTCTGATGCATGGCCCCCCAGCCTGTATGTTGCCAGCACCCGAAGGTTCCAGCCCATCCACCAGAAAAAGTTTGCTGGGTCACATCCAAACCCCCAGAAACAGCAGCAGGCTTTAAAGCTGAATTTACATAGTGGCCAAATGTGACATTACAGCACCTGGGTCTGTCATGTGACGCCATAGGACCAAAAGTATTTTTTCCTTTAGATTTCCATTGTTACAGAGACATCTGTAAATATGAGAATATATTTTTTGGAGCATCACAACCCCCTCCAAAAATGACTCGATTAATTTAGCCCAACAACATTTCTGAAGTCTTGAAGAGCCACACAATTTTATCCCCATTCAAGTTAACACAGGGCAAAACTGGAAGCTCTGTCATCTCAAGTGCACTTGCTCTATTTTTTGCAGATGATCAGGGTATTTCACACTGCCAAACGCAAGCTTTTTTGGCTTCAAGCACCACTGAGTAACTGTCATAGAATTGAACGGGGCCCCACCTCCAACACTGTATTCAGATCTCTTTATACATCCATTGTTGCATCACCGGCTGGACCTTCACTGGCAAATAATACCTACACATTACAAAATAAGCAAATTTTGGGTGCCATGGTTGGTGCTAGAGTGAGAACTGAGATTGTCCTGTTTCTTGTAGCAAGTTCAAATGAATTTGTTGTAACTGACATGTTACTCATAGCCTTATTATTATACAGGTTAGGTAAATGGCTTTTTACAATGATTTAAATACAATTTGCATTTATATGGAGCTTTATCCCTATCTTTATTCAAGAGAGTGGTCTATCAGTTTGAGAGCATTATTTATTGATTTCACATTCAAAAACCCTGCCCTCACACTCAAATAGCCTCTGCTTGCGCTTGGATCTACTCTGTTTCTGCTCAAACTGTGTGCTCGCACTCAGATACCATGTTGCTCGCACAGATTTCCTGCTCGAGCTTCGGCTATTCTCCTCGCGCTCAAACTGTTTCTATGCGCTCGTGAAATTTCTGCTCTCAGATTTCTGCCATGTGCTTGGATTTTTTGTGTAACAACCCTGTCAAAATCCCCCAACCAATAGAATGCCAGATTTACTGTTGACCAATGAAATTGTTACACAAAAAAATCCAAATGCAGGGCAGAAATCTGAGAGCAGAAATTCCGTGAGCGCACAGAAACAGTTTGAGCCTGAGGAGAAAAGCCGAAGCTCGAGCAGGAAATCTGTGCGAGCAACATGGTATCTGAGTGCAAGCAACATGGTATCTTAGTGCGAGCACACAGTTTTGAGCAGAAACAGAGTAGATCCAAGCGCAAGCAGAGGCTATTTGAGTGCGAGGGCAGGGTTTTTGAACGTGAAATCAATAAATGATGCTCTCAAACTGATAGACCACTCTCTTGAATAAAGATAGGGATAAAGCTCCATACATTTAGTGCACCAGCCCAGGCCCATGCGAGAACTAGTGAGGCAGACAGCTGCAGTAGTGCTGCTTTTTACCCCCTACAATCAAATATTGATTTTCAAAATTGAAATTTTTTTTCACAATTCGATTATAATCAGATTTAAAATATTCGTTGACAGCCCTAGTTTGAAGCTTCACTTTTTATACTAACATACCCACAAAGGTTTCGAAACCACCTGAAAGTCCTGCAGAGTTCATATCGTTGGTTGTGTAACAGATTTATGTGATAGACATGGCTCTAAATTCCATTTATATCACTGTTGTTTGAGGTTGAAGTACTTGTGGATTGGTAATGGGTGAGGGGTAAATTGCTAAGCGTTCCCCATGGGTCAGGGCATATGGCTATTAATATTCAGTGACATTTCCAACCTGTCCAAATGATATTGTAAGCAGGGATTCAGGGAAGACCACACTGCAGATAAGCCCTGGGCTCTTCCCTCACACATTTACACGCAAATACACATCAATATGTTCCTTAACTTGCTCTGTTTAGATAGCACACATCCCTGCCTGCATCTGTGTGGTGTAATGCCACAACAAAGTGATTCGTATTACAACGCATACCAGCTAACAAATGTCCTCACGTCTTTAAATTCTGTAAATGTGATAAACACTTTCAATATGTCTTGATGCTGGCCTTCTCTGGTATATTCAGCCCATATTTCCTCTCTGCAACCTGTGGATAAAACACACTCAGAAGCTCTGCCATGACTCAAGCCTCTGTACTAATGTCAAAGTATTATTTCAGTAATGCCTCAGCGGCACGTCTGAAATGTCTTCTTAATGTCTCTCAGTCAGTCTGAGTAATACTTCGGCTAGGTCACATGGCTTCTAGCCATTAATGCCAGCTGCCTGAGGTATCATAAATCCCGAGAGAATCGTCTTCTGCAGATTAAATGGAGCTGGAGAAGTTTAAGCTGTCGCCACCCCTGACACCTCTGCCACTGCAACCCTACACACACCACAAACACACACGCACACAGCCTAAAGAGCCAAGAGATGCCAAGTGAGTTGGGTGTTGCAGAAGCCAGAGGACCAAGGAGATAGCCTGGTGATGCCCAAGGAGTGTGACGTAATCTCACAGCACAGACACACACACACACACACACACACACACACACACAGACATAATGGACGGGAGAATGACAAACGCACAGGGACACTTAGACACGCAGCACTGACCTTAAAGCTCCAGTAGTTGGGCTGTTGCTGCAGAGTTTATGAAGGGCAAAAGAGGGAAGGGAGGGAAACAGAAAGACAAAAGTTAGATACTCACTTCTCTAATAATGGGTCACTGACATAAAGAAACCACTTTAAAAATTGGTGCATTGAACAGCTTGACTGGAGAGGAGATGCAGGCTTTGACACAAATATTTGATGCATCCTCCCCAAAAAGCATAATCAGGTGCATTTTCTAAATCATTTTCTTGTAATGTGTTCCTTTTCTGACAGCTGATATATGAAACTCATTAATATTGTTGACAGCTTCATCTAATCTAAAGCACAATCATTAAGTTTGATTGGTGTTAATGCAGGGGGTGGCTGTGTTTTTGCAGGCATCGGGTTACAGCGCACCTGAAAACAAGATTGCACTGTTGGCTATAACTGGTGAAGGGGAGGAAATGAAAAGAGTGAAATCGAATCAAACAGCAGCCCACTCTGTTGTTCCGAAGTTGGCCTCTCTCCCAGATTTCTCCACCACAGGCAAGCCACCGCTCTGTCTCCTCCTCACTCTCTGCTGTCTCTTTCGCTCTCGATCCACATCTTAACATCGCCACCTCACCTGCTCATTTTTACCAGCCCATGCTGAATCTCCCATGTGTCTGTTCGCCCTTCCTGCTGCTCTGCCATGTACCAAAAGGTGCCCGCATGTTGGCTGAGGCCCCGGGAAGTGAGCTTTCCATTAAAACATAATTACCCCCACAGTCAAAACCAGGCCAAGCCACTGATGGCCCAGAAATACCTCAAAATGACATGGAAAATTAAAAAAAGATTGGGCAGAGTTCATGAATTTTAATTCTAATCCAAACTCTTATTCTAGTTCTTATTCTTATCTGCAGGCAATTTTCAGTCCATTCAGCCTCCCTTCTGCAGGAACCACATTACTCTCCTGGCGCAGGGATGAAAAAAGTGACAGGCAAGTTTTGATTTATGATAGTTGGTGGTTTTTCATCATCAGCCTTCCATTTTAAATACTGTCGCAACAAAAGCCTAGATTATTTTAGTAAACGCAAGCATCAGAAGGAGCGTTTTCAACTGATTATTACCCTATTGTAATCTAATCTTTCACTTAATGTTCTCTCATTTAGCCCTGACGCCATTCTTTGATGGTCTCTTTCTCTTTCTGCTCTTCTCTTGCTCTATATTTCTTTCTCTCTTTTCTTAATGTACTGTGGTGTGAGTTCTTGCCTGGTTTTTATATAATATTAAGTGTTATAATCACACTAATCCAAAGGAAGTAACATTTCCTCGCCAAGAAGACAGAGTCATGATTAACATCTGGTCTAACACAGTATAACTATTTACAGATTTTGTAAAGGCTAGAGCTGTGTCCCAATTCCAAAGTACACATTAGATTTCATTGGAATTGTACCTCATCTGATGTCATGCATGCATACAAATATTTGGCAGTTAGTATGCAAGAAATGAAAGCATTTTGCAGTTTTGTCCAAAAAGGAGATGATAAAACGTGCAGACCAATTTCAATCAAACTTTGATAGTTCATTCCAACATTAAGTTAAGCACTAACTGTATGCAGCTAGAGAAAACCTGACTCACAACATGATCTTTTTTTTATCAATTACTCACCATGTGTTACCTTGAAATTGTGAAGAAAACTGAGTTATTTGTGGTAAAATGGGCCTGCATTTAAAAACAGCAAAACCACATCAAAGCATCCATTTACAAAGTGTCACACAAGTCATGCAGTATAATCCTAACATACGCATATGCGCTTAAAAAGTTAGTTACAAGGGGTGTCGGTGGCTTAGTGGGTAGAGCAGGCGCCCCATGTACAAGGCCATTGCCACAGCGGCCTGGGTTTGACTCCAGCCTGTGGCCCTCTGCTGCATGTCATTCTCTCTCTATCCCCCCTTCACAGCTGTCCTATCAACTAAAGGCAAACATGCCCAAAAAATTTCTTAAAAAAAAAAAAAAAAAAAAAAGTTAGTTAAGTAACACGGCCTGAGCATGCCTGTGTTTGTGTATGAGCTGCATGTGTATTGACGAGAGTTCAAAGGCGCACGTATGCCCAGCCTGTTTCTCAGTTGTACATTAGACTGTTTGTACCGACATGTTTCAAAACATGATGTTTTAGCCAAAATGCATGTGATAAAAGACTTGGATTATAGTGCATGAGTTGTGTGAGAGTTTGTTAACAAATGTTTTGATATAGTTTTGCTGTGGTTAAATGCAGACCCTGATTACTTCAATTAATGAAGAGCGTTTGCATTATTGGATTCTCTATTCACCATAGGGATGTGTGAAAAACAGTTTTCTTCACAAATTCATTAAGACACTTTGTGAGTAACTGATATACAAATGATCATTTTGTGGGTGAAGTATTCTTTTTCTTACAGGAAATAACAATACTTGGCGCTATTAGGTGTCAATAAAACTGTGCCTTTGGAATGACACTGCCAATTAAACTTTACAAACAGACCGTTTGACCGATCAGATCGTTTTTTCCAAGTATGCAGTAGGTTGTATTTTTTTTAATCACTTTCAGACATGTTCCTGGAGCTGTTTCACCTCCATCTACAACTGAGAAGCTCCTCCTTTCTACTTTATACACTGAATCTTGGGAGAATAGAGAACAGTTCATCAACAGGACACACAAAAATCAATTTTTTTAGTATAGATACAGCTTTCAGTTTACTTTCTTTGTCACTTTGCATTGTGGAACACACTACTTCCTAACAGAGCATTGAAGCTGCTGCCCTGCTAATGTGCAGCTGCTCACTGTGTCTTTGCATAAATGTAACATAAAGGCAAAAGCACACCTTAAAAATTAAGCTGATCTTGCTTCTGCCACTTTTCCAGTGTGAACACACTACGTACTCAAAACCTGGCCAGAATTAATAGCAGCAATATTAGTAGAGCAATAGTATGGAACTGGGAAACAGCATAGTTGTGGCATAATCACACAATGGGTTGGACACAATACCAGCAACATAATGCAACCCATTACAACTCCACAAACTCGGACATAAAAATAGAGTTGAATTAACACTTACTTGAAATTGAAAATTAAACATTATAACCTTTATTCTGAAAGCAGCTATTCAAAGCCATTTTCTTGTGTATAATTCTGTCCACCTAATAATGTTGCTGTGCCATTTACAGTTTTAAATGTTAAAAAACAGTGCATATATCTGCCTAGACTTGCTGGCAATGAGACATGTGGGACACTCAAAATGATATGGAGTATAATCTCCACCCACCCTTCTTTTTCCCCATAGCATATAAATTTCTACTAACATATGTCAAAGCTATTATTATTAAAGACAAGTCTTTGATGTGAAGCTGAGAAGAATTTCTGTCTCTTAGCTAGTTGTTCAGTTTTTTTTAATCAAGTACAGTCCCTGTCCAGGTTTTAAGAATTAAATTCTCTATTATGGGCTTATATGATAATAATAATAATTATAAAAGCCTATATGATCTAAAAAATGCATTATAACATATCTTAAAACAAGGTTGTTCATGTTTTTGACGGGACAGTGAGAGATCTGAATACACCTGATCTAAAGTGGTCAGAAAGCTAATCTCAGTAAGACTCAGGGGCGAGAGGTCATGGGTAAAGTGGGTCACTTTCGGGGATAAGATAATACATGAGGTGAGGTTGGACTTGTGTTGGCCTTGACTACCTGATCATGTGTCAGTCATTTATTCTGCACAGCCCGTCAGTCAAGCTTTGTCCTTGACAATCTGTCTGAAGTGACAGCTGCTCAGGGGCACCGTTGGTGCGTCATAAATAATTGCTGTACACTTGTTCAGACAACGTTAATGATTTTATTTTCCCACAAAGCTAAATGACTCTGAGGGCTGGCTTTAATGGTGCAGAAGTGATTTGTGGTCTTGTGTTGTCTGTCTCTGCCAGTGTTTCTGTGTTTGTTGCTTTAATGAGGCTTACTCACAGTTCTCAGGTAAAGTAAACATTCATTCGTCACAGACTCGTGTTGGTTTAACCGTTGCTCCGCAGACAGTTGCAGATTTACTGAACTCGGACTTTGAGTTGCAAATACTGCATTGAGAGGCTGTGAGAGTAAATTCAAGAGGGCCTATTTCAATACATGTTAATTCCTCTTAACATTTCTCCATCCTGGCAGGTATCACTGCGATCAATTCTTTACTTCTGTGCAGAAATTACATTCAAGATGTTGTTTTATACTGTCAGTCACTATCACACTAACTCATTCAGCCACAGTCCCAGATGACAGACAGAACCCTTGACTGAGGCTCTACTACTTAGCTCAAATGTACATTAGGGATGTGCACAATTATTTGATTGATAGCTAGTCGGCACCAGAAATACTACTCAGTTAAACTTATTTATTTAAAAAATGTTCACATTTAAATGACATATTAATACATATTCTGATGACTGATAGGCTGTTTGCTTTGCAATTATGTTCAGCTAATAAAAATGTCATTGTAATAATTAGGCATGTTTCCTTAAGATTAATTTTCCTAAAAAAATATTGTTTTCATTAAATGTTATTTGTTAACTTTTACTTAGTGAGTTGCTATCACCTTTTGTAGGATAACATATAATGTTTATGATGTATGGTGCAACAGGCCACACATTTCAGCAGCATTTAAAATACAATTTGGAGACTAAAAAATGTGTTTCATAATTTAAAATGACTCTTTTAAGATACACAATATTTTCTTACTTTTAGACTTGTTGACTAGTCTAAGTTTAAACTTCCATTTAAATGTCAGAGATATTAGTCTTTAGGAACATCCCTAGTGTACACCTTTTCACTTTTAAGCTCCTGTTGAATTAAATATGCCTGGAGCTCCAAAGAGACAGAGTTACTGATGTTATGTTTGAGATGCCAGATTAAACCTGTGGCTGAGGGGCTAAATGCAGGTTAAGACACCCCTGTATACATTTACATACAGGCGTGGATGTGCACTCAAGAGTTAGCCTCAGAGCTCCAACAGAAGGACGTAGCCTCACAGAGTGTAGCGCTGCATTACCTGACCAGCATGTAAAGCAGGCTGCACTCCCTCCACCCCTCCTCCAACCCCGTCTCTTTCTCATGTCGTCATCCTCTCTGCACCCCCGCCCCCCATCTCAGCCATTCTTACTCTTTCCCCCTCAATCCTCCTCCGGTCTAGTTTGGTGTCTCAGCGCTAACCGCAGCCTCTCTCGCCTCCTCTGTTTTAAAAACACCTACACTTGTCTGCACAGCACATTAACGCTCACTCAGACGCACAAAAGGCTCTGTGTACAGTTTACAGTATCGTCCACTCAGCCTTCGTCTAGTCTTTGAGCATATGCACACCGTCACCACAACAACCACAATAAACACAACAGGCGTGGAATCTAATCCCAGCTGGCACATCCTTATCCCCCCCCCCACACACACACCTCTCTACAACAGCCTCCAGCTTCCAGTTTCAAGCTTCCAGTCCCGTCTCACCTGCAGTGCACCTGTGCCTGTCCACCACTCCAGTCATCCCAGGCAGTCCGTCAGGTGCAGCGAATCCTCATCGCGTTTTTGCCCGTCTCTCCCTCCCTCTGCTTCTCTAACCCTCCCTCTCTCTCTCCCTCGCTCAGTCTACCTCTCTCTCCCCCCCTCTCTCTCTCTGTCTTGCTCTCCAGTAGCACATGCGGCGGAAACTCTTTATTTAATTCATTACAACACCAGCCGATTAACTCCTTCGCAGATGGGTGGCTGGCTCCTGCTGGTGCTGGCTAATTGAGCAGCGGGCTGCTTGACTGGCTGCTGTGCTCCTCTCCAGCTCCTCCCCCCCCCCCACCCTCCTCCCTTGCTGTCCACGCTCTGCACATCCACGAGATGACAAGAAATCCTGGGCTCTGCTGCTTCCTCCCCCGTGCAGTGAAAATGCCCTGTCACTTTAGGATCTGTCCACTCTCCCGGCTGCTGCTCAAAAAAAATTTTTAAACTGTCTGCCTCGTTATTCTTCTCTCCCCTCTGTTGTCATCATTGTACCATTCCTGCTTCTCTACACAACCTGACCTTTGCAATGCGATATCCCTACTTGCCATTTATGGGAGAGGTTGCCACGGAAACTATGGACTCCACCCGCCCTTCCTCGCTTGCTCACTCTCTCTCTCTCTCTCTCTCTCTCTCTCTCCCTTTCATTCCCTCCCCTCTCCCCTGATGTGCTTTTCTGTCATGTCATTACAGTGAATTTACCCTTTTTTTAAATACACACACAGCAATGGTGCTCACACAAAGAGAGAGTGTGTTTGTGCACAGAATAGTACGTGCATGTGTGTGTAAGTGAGATAGTGCGAGAGAAAGCTGTTGGGGCTGTGTAGTATATAAACTACATTGGGAGGGGGGAAAGAGTTGATAAAAAAGAGCAAAGGGAAAACATTATCCTCAAGTGTTGAGACTGCATTAACATTTACGCATTCAATATATTTATGTGTGAGACTTCCTGTCTTCCTTCACACCTCAGTGGTGCCCCTCTGTGTAAAGTTCTACAGGTTCTGGCAGCAGAGAAACAAAGAAAAGCGTGGCTGTGAAAGTTTAATGACGACCCCTTAAAACACAGATACAAAGACCACCTGACAGCTTTCCCTCACATGCATTCTGTCCCTTAATTATTTTAATGAGGACAATGTGAAGCACAATGTGAGGCATTGTGCGGCTTTCAATCTGGATGTTATCTGAAAAGAGACTTTATGTTGTGTGTGTGTGTGTGTGTGTGTGTGTCTTTCTGTGTCTACGTGTGACATCACTTTTCTGTCTCCAAAATGACAGTATTTTCCAGTTTGATTGCCAGAAGAAAAACATACAGAGCATCTAATTAAGTTTCTTTAAATGGAACTAAAGTGATATGAAAAAAACAGATGCATGAAATGTAATAATTAATAAATCAATTAAACATTAATTTGACATTTGGGACAATATGTCAGATTCAATTCTTTTTTGAGGATAAAAAGCGTGATTTGCATACCTGTTCTCGTGCAGACCGCTCTGACGTACCCCTCATGCTGGCGTGGGAGGGTGAGGGCGACGGTGGGTTGTGGTGCGGGCTGTGGTGCGGATGCTGCAACTGCTGCTGCTGCTGGTACTTGCTCTTCAGGTGATCCATGAAGGCGTCCCTCTTGCGCTCCATGTCAGCCTTGTGCAGGTTGGTCAGGGCCTCCAGGCTCTGGGCCGCACTGACGGTGTGGCGGTGCTCCGATGTGTGCACCAGGCCCACATTGGAGAAGCGCCGTGCGCTGTTCCCCAGCGTCCGGTACTCTCGTGGATACTCCAAGTCATCTGTGGAGATCATGTGACTGCCACCACGCTCGGGATCTGAGGGGACGATGCCAGGATAAAGGAGAAGGAAGAAAAGAAGGAAGGGGTGGAAAGTGTGCATGAAAGAGGTGAATCACCACCCACACCAGCATGCAGAAAGATTTCAGGGTGGAGACATACATACATACAGTGCAGGCACACACAGGTGGAAACAAATGGAGCAGAGGGAATGGTAGTGGAAAAAATAAGGCAGAGTGAGGACAGGAGAGAGAGGAAGAGAGGGAGAGAGAGAAAGAAATGGGATGTGATGTTAGACTATTTGCCACCAGGATGGAGCAGTTCCCTGCAGAATTATTGATCTCAAGTTCTGAAGGGAAGAAAAATGAGAAAAGTAAAATGCTTCTGTGATAGATCAAAGGAAGAGGCTCAAACTGAATTTGTTTTGCTGGATATTCTATTGTGATATGCCTGCTTGTCATTATAAGTGGCTTTCATTGTTTTCGCAGGAAACAGAGCAAAACAAAATACTGAAAATTGAGGTGATTGAAAGTCAGTTGGGAACGCAAAGGAACACTTCTTTTATTATGTCCTTGTTCTTTTTCACCAACTTTTGTCCGTCTATCTGAGCTTTCCCCTCAATCCCTTGACACCTTCTGCCACTTTCTCTACATACTCTCACTGCCTCTTGTCTGGAGGTTACTGATTCTGCTGTCCATTTTTAAGGAGGCGCATCACTCTGACAGCCCTTGGCCTTTTATCAGCGCTCTAACTGACAGACAACACAGCCTGAGGTGGAAGGCACACGGGAAGGAGAGGGAGACAGCCGGGAGGAGACGGTATGGTTACACAAAAAAAATATGTGACTGGAAAAACGAATGAACTTAAAGTGTGATAAAAGAGCAGGGAGCCATTCGCCCGATGAGTTACCTTGCTTAGGAAAACAGGCCCCGGCGTTGGCTAGAAGAGAAACATGCCAAGGGTTAATTTGTGTGTTTGTGCACAGATGTGCGAGCAAACACACCACGACACAGTCACATGACCATCAGAAAAGAGCTATCATGAAGTGATAGCACTTTGTCTGAATTACAATTAGTTAATGCATTATATATGCATTATAATGTATTCATAAGGGTTAACATATGGGGAAATGGTTTGAATTCTAATAGTGTCTTACAATAACCTACAGAATGGTTAATGAATACTGTATATCATGCATTTTTACACAGAAACAGTTCATGGTTTGTTTCTAAAAATCACAAGACATTTTTTCATATTTGATTAAATAGCAAATTAACTAAGTATAAACTCCTGACTTCAAGGCAGGTAGAAGAACCAATTAAATCAAGAGATGAACGATAAAATAAAAAACACCGGTGAAACTCAAAGTATAAAAAGTGCTGAGGCTTAATAGGGCTGAATGAAGTGGACCATATGTACATTAAAGGCTCATCAGCAGCATTAGGAGGAGCTGAGTGAGTAAGCAGCAGAGGAAGGCTCCTCAGGGCAGGAGCAACAAATGGACTGTTAATGAACGCAGAGGAAGCTGGCCAGATGGAGGCCCAATAGAGCTGCAACGCTCTCCAGTGGACAAACCTTAACACAGAGGAAGCCTGTTAAGGCCAGAAGGTCTGCCATCACTTCAACGCAGCTGCAATCAAAGCTGCATGCCCGTTGTGAACCCATTTCTCACTCTATTCATCCTCGGAGAGCTATCGCACTCTGAGTATGATCAGATGTTTCAACACCATGCCCTTACATCCACCACATTATGAAGTGCTGATAAACTGAGCAGGGGTGAGGCGAAATGGACTGACCTCCTGGCTAATAGCATTAGCATTGAGCTGCACACACCAAGGCTACCGGCCGTATTCATCTGGCCCCCTTGATGCCTCCCGGATCTCTGGTTTACACTTCATTAGGCTGGAGCTTATTGTGCATCAGCTAACAAGGACCTGACTCAAGGGCCCCATTACAATGGCTGGCAAAGCTGGGCCTATGTACTAAGGCTTATTATTGTGACTGAGCATCCAAAACGACAGTGAAAGCTGAGTAGGCTATGCTGCCTCTAGATAAACATAAAGCTGAGAAGGGAATGAAACACTGCATCAAGAAAGTGATATCACTAACATTTATATTTATCAATTGCAAGAAGTCCTTACAGAAGTTAAAATGCTGAACAAGATAATGTCTTGCCAAAAGACAAGATTTGCATCTCTTTGTAGCACTGGTTTGGAGTACAGCCTAAAAACTTTCCCAACTGCAGTTTGTGGATATACTCTCTAAAGCTGTATACAAAGACCTCATCTTGAACACAGCAGGAGTAAAAGTTGTGTGGGCAGCAGAGCAAGAATAGAAAATAGGAACAGGTTAATCATCTTTACTTTCGTCATTCGAAGCCAATATATTTTCACATAAGCTGGCAGACAATAACCCTGACAGCCAAAACAATCTCTGCAAGCCCACGTGACGCCGGCATCATTTAAACCTACATAAAAGAGCCTTGATTGGGTGGGTTTCTGGTGACCACTCTATCACAAGAAAGCAACATCTGTCAGCAAGTCTCGGTCTGCAGTGGGCCAAATTGCAACTAAAAAAACTAAGAACCTCCAGGAAAAGATGCAGCATGTTGGTCAACAAAATAATGCTGGACCTGAATGACAACGGGAGCCTGCAATCAGAACTGATAACATCTGTGAGCCCAGCCAGTGAGACCTGGGCTGCACTGCCAAGATAGAGAGCACAGTCAAGAGCATTTACCTGCCAAAATAAAAAAAAGCCCACTGTGGTGGGCCTTGAGAGATAAGACAAGACAAACAGATGAGGAGAAATTACCTGTGTGGAGAAAAAGATACTGCAAGGCAAACAGCTAACAAAAAAACAACCTCTAACGACCAGTACAGCCGGATTAAGCAGTCTAACTCCATTTGGTGTTTCTTTGGGTTTATGCAAAGTAGATTAAGCCTAAAACTTCCTTTCATCGGGGGAGGTTGGCTCACAGATTGAAGATGAACCATAAAAAAGATGACAAATTAATTTTTGTATCTATTGTTTCATGTACTGTAATTGCCAGCCATTTTTCTCACATTTATTAAGATCTGTCCTGTATTTCGCTGAGCCACATTCTCAACTTTTCACTTTTTGAGTCACCAGGCTCCACCGCCTTCTGTGGGTTATTTATATATGTAAGGAAATTCAGACCGTGACATGAGGCATTTGCCAACCCACCCACAACAACTATCATCACATATACATAATAATAGTCTGTATCATCACAGCCAAATCCTGGACCACATACCTCCAAAGGTAAAGGTATTTTTTTTTCTTTGCAGTCACCTGCTGAACTTCAACTCAGGAAGAGAAGTTGCTGCTCATCATATGCATAGACATATGGTATGGCGAATCAGGAGGTGAGAAGGAAAAGTGGATTGGGTTTGCTTTGATGGATTTGGAAGAAGCAGGCGGTGTAGCTTTATATTTTGGGCATGTTAAACAAGTGGGTCAGAGGGAGTGGAGGGTGTAAGAGAGGCTTCAAGTCTCTCAGAATGATAAGAAAGCTGCAGATTCTGCATATGCAAACAGAGCCTCTGTAATGGCCAAATCTAAATTCAGCACTTCAAACATTTTGACTTTGTTTGTCATATATGCAGCCACATCTTGAGGCTACATGAGTCACTCTGTATAAATAATGTATTCAAAAAGGTATGAAAATATTCTTATGTATCATATTGAAATTTGGGAGGATGCAAATATGCATATACTTTCTGTTGTGACATAAAAAAAGTAAAGCAGCAAGTCATCAAATTTGTGACTCAAGTCTGACTTGAGTCCAAGTCATGAGTCTATAGTCCCCACCTCTGTTAACGAACTTCAAATTACATTACTCCATTTATTAGTTAATCATTTGGTGTTTAAAATGCCACAAAACAGTGAAAAATGGCCAATATACTTTCAGAGACTAAGGTAATGTCTTCAGATATTTTTGTTTTATTCAATTAAATGGTCCAGTGTGTAGGATTTAGGGGCATCTATGAGCAGATATGGTATATAATAATCAGAGCTACGTTTTTATTAGTGTATAATTACCTGAAAAAAGAATTGACGTTTTGTTAGCTTAGAATGAGCTGTTTATATATGGAGTGATTCCTCTTGCACAGAGTCCGCCATGTTGTTTCTACAATAGCCCAGAACATCCAAAATACACATTTAAGTGTTTATTCTAGCTCAGATTTCTGTTTTGGAAATGTATGCAGAAATTGCATATTTAATTAGATACTTAATTTGCATATTTTAACAAAATCTTAAAAAAAAATGTAATACAAAATTGTCTTAAGTAATCAACTGGGGAGGTTTCATGGTAATATCTTTGAGTTAAAATTTTTACCCAAGTCATCTGTAGTGTCTCCTCTGAACAATCCAAAACCAAATCTGTACTATATATGACAAAGGAAAACTGCTGATTTTCACAGTTGAGAAGCTGAATATAAGACTTTGGGCATTTGCTCTTAAAAAATCGATTTATCAAAATAGTTAATAATTATTAATACTTAATTTTCCTTTCCTTCTAATACTCATTTACAAAACATTTCATCTCAGATATCTATAAAAGCTGGAAAAAGCTTTGTAAAGCAGTTTCGCAGATGCAAGACAGCTTGGTATTGTGGTGCAATATGTTAATACTTATGGGTACTATTTAAAAAGTAGCTCTATGAATACTGTCTGACTCACCTCTCTGGCACATACATTGAGTACAAGGTCTTCTCTAGCTGTGACTTGAATAGTCTCGACTTTGCACCGTTAGGGAGAAGAAGTGGCATCAGGGAATAAATAAACAAGGTAATAAATCGGAAAAAAAAGATAGTGCCAGTCTAATTAAGTCCCTGAAACAGAACTTTCTGTCCAGAGCATAATGTCAAGACAACATGACTGAAGTGGTTTGCACTTCAGATATGCTCATTTTGGTTATCTAGATGACAGCAATAAATTTTCATTTCATCAGAAAAACATTGTGTTAATGAATGTGCGACAGCCTGCCACCAAATTCCTAAAGAAAGGCGATCTTTTGTAAGCGTATAGTGTAAAATCATTTTTTACTAAGGCTGGGCATCTTTTTAAAAATTTCTATACCAGTACCCTTAAAGTGATTCAGATACCAACTGAGTACTACATTCGATACCTATAATGTGAATGGAATGGCGTTAAGTATAGCCCTACTTTGAATGTTTGGTGGCATCTCAGCACGCTTAACAGTCAACTCCATTAAATTCACCGTGCTCCACTTCACCACCGCTGCAGGAGTGTGAGCTCTGCACCAGGGACGGTTGTCAGAGTCCGCCTGGCTGCACATATACAGTGACAAGTCTAACTGCACCGCCTGGCTAACATTACCTAACAGTTATTAACGGGTTAAATGACAGAGTTGAGCCATTTCAGTGACATTTTAAGTTTGAAAGGACTGTTAAAAGGCTCTATGTTGGATGTTAGTCCCTGCTGCTAAATTAGCTCATGCTAACCAGGCAGACGTTAACTGACTGGTTGCCAGGCAGAGAGTCAAATGCAGGTATCGTTAGACTTGAGATGGCATCGAGTACCAACACCCGGCCCTAATATTTAGTAATGCCAATATGTTACTGTTTTCATGTTTTGATGTTATCTACTGTGATCTGTGCCTCACAGGTCTTTTAGAGTATTCCTCATCACTGTTTTTATTAATCTCTCTCCAAATGATGTGGCAATATGCACTTCTGTATCTGAAACACATCACTTGCCTGTTTATTTATACAGTGAACATACGTAGGTGGTCATTGCCTTTAGCCTCTCTGAGCGGCTCTATTGATGATTTTTTTACCTGATAATTTCATCCAAGCATCTATATTTTAGTACTTCTCTTTGGTCTGTTGTCTCATTAATATCCCATGACCACGCGGTGGCCTCTGATGTTTCATTGTTTGGTATAATTA